ACATACAGCTTAGATTTCTATGTCACAACAAACAATTTTATGCTAAAACGTTATGAATAAACCATTCTTAAAAACTTATCTTAAAATGCAAGCTAGTTTAAGAGTGAAAGATTGGGTGGTTAGTGTAAATTGGAGAAACGTCAATGAAGCTTGGAAGGTTTTTTGTTAGTTTACTAAATGTAATGTACTATCATGCTGCTAAATGTTTGCATTACAACTGAAATCCTTTACCAAAATGCTTAAATAGAGAAATTAAAAATTCCAATAAATGAAAAATATCAATGCATAACTGCAATTTGTGAAACACTCTTTGGTTTAGATTTAGTGAAATAAACCATAGAAATTAAAAAAATAGCTATCATTAAAGTTAAGATAGAATATGAAAGATTTTTTATTAATGGTTTTACTGATGAAAGGGTGAAAGAAGTTTCCAAGCTTGAGTAATTTCTCCAAGGGTAGGGGCCTAGACATAAAAAGAATTTTTCCTTAAATCTATTTATGTTAAAGAAGATGTTTAAGAAAAAACAAGAAACTTTTTCAAAATGATGTCTCTTAATTAATGGGCCAGAATATGGAAGATAAAATTTTAATACTGAGAGCTGTAGAATAATATGCAACTGGGATATATACACTTTAGGAAATATTTCTTTGGTGTGGTACAAAAAAAGCAAAGACTTTTTGGTTCTGTTTATTGAAATTTTTAATTTTAGATAAAAAAGGTTATTTTACCTTCTTATGAGTCTGATGAGGTTTTCTTTAAAATACTATGTGCGTGTCTAATTTTGGCCCCTCTGCTATTGAAGAGTTTCATTATGTTGTAAAAAACAGACAGGCTACTAAAATGATATCTGTTTAAAATAATTTATATATGACAATTGCTTAGACGTTTTAGACTTGTTTTCTTCTATACAGCAAAAGAATAAAGGTGAGCTTGCTTTAAGTGTTACAAATTTTCAGAAATTTAGTCTTCTCATTGGTTGCCAAACATAAAAATTAGTAAATTTAAGTTTTAAAAACCATTTAAAAGATGGGGCTGATAGAGTTATTTTGATTTTTCTAAACTTTTGTTTAGTTGTATGATGTTAACAGATTAATTGAAGTTTGGATGTCAAAAACTATCTTTTGACTTAATATTCACCTCAATGGACCATACATCTTATATTCATGTAAATGTAGCTTGAGTATTTTTTTTTTCACAATTTAAAAACCTGAGATTGTAGTACTCCCACCAATGAAAATTTAAATTATATTATTCCCAGCTTTAATACTACCACCTTTATCCCTAATTTTTCAGTTGGATAAAATTTTTGCAAATCTTCTTACAACCCTCAATAAATAAATCCGGAAACACAAAATAATTGATAAACAAGGAAAATATTAAGTTATCTGTAATAATCATACACCATGGCACTCTCCAAATATGTATGTAAAATATATATTGAATGGCATTTCTTCTGCATCCCTTGTCTTTCATACATAATTGTATGCATTACTGTTAGAGCAGTATACTACTGTACTGGTACTTCATAAAATCATCGTAAACTGTATACCTATGGTCTATGACTAGTGACATGTAGATATAATTATAACTTATAAGAACTAGTTTCATGTACCTTTGAAAACATATTTCCACGTATTTTATATCTGTAAAATAGTACAACACCTAATAATTTTAAATATTATAAACTTACAATGGATGTCTAGCATCAGGCACACTTCGATTAAGTGAGATTCTATCACTGATGTAAACATTAAAAGCTGCTGAACTAAACAGTTCATCAGCCAAAATTTGCTCTTTTTGATTAAGAATTACTGGTCTTCCCACTTCTCCAAGTCCAGGGGTCACTTTCATAATTCCATCATCTAAGCCTGTATTTTGAAGTTCATCTTCAGGTTTATGTTCCAAACCAACTTCCTTTTGGTGATCATTACTCATACGTACAGCTGATTTAGTCTTATCGACAAAACTTCTATTTAACTTTAAGCGTTGGTTGTTTTTACCACTTTCCTTCGTAAGTTCAGCAGGTGATGGTGGAGGCAGTACATTCTTGTGGTTATTATTCTCATCTTCATTAATAATCAAGTCTGAGCCAGGTCTCTGTATTTGTGCGTTATGATTTTGGTGATCACGAATAACATCAGTATTAGAAACATAACTTCCTGACGGAGGTTTTTGTAAACTTTCTGGCTGAAAAGGTTTCTCTTTCTCTATTCGTATTACTTTCGAACTCTGCCCGTTTCCGCTACGGTTAATTATTTCCGATATCTTTTTCTGCTTGTTTGAGAGAGTATCAGATTCTAAGTTTGTCTTTAATCTTACTTGGCTATACCAAAATCCAACACCTAGAGTGGCAGATACAATTAAAAGAAGTTTAAAAAGAGTTAAGCGGCGACGCCTGTTAATCCACCGTGCAAGCATTATTCGTGTAAAAATGAAAAGCTAGATGAACACAAAAGGAAAGGTTAACTTAAGTCAAGACGCAGAGCTCTCAAGTTATGTCAAAAATGTTTTATCGCAACTACAACTTTCTTTCACTGTATCAATGTGTGCCATTTTCACTTCATATTATCCTATACTAGTATATTGTAAAATATACGGTAAGGTAAACTAATTCTAAGATTTTTCTTGCTGAGTGTAACCTTTCCCGACAAATCTAGGTCACTCAAAAGTCATTACACCTATACACGTGTCAAATGAAACTATTACACTACTGCCCTCTATAGCGTACAGAAAATGCAACAACAAATCTTGTAAATCTCTAACATATACAGTACTTATATTTTTCTAAAGCGTTAGACTACGTCATTGACCAAAAATAACATGTAATTATGTACATAATAAGTAATTACATGTTATATTTTGTCAATGACGTAGTCTAACGCTTTAGAGAAATAAAGGGTTCTGCCTGGTAAAATGCAATTTCAGTCTTTGTTCACACTACTAAATATGGCAGGCCCGGCATGGCCAGGTGGTTAACGCGCTCGACTCGCAATCTGAGGGTCGCGGGTTCGAATTCCCGTCACACCGAACATGCTCGCCCTTTCAGCCGTGGGTGCGTTATAATGTGACGGTCAATCCCACTATTTGTTGGTAAAAGAGTAGCCCGAGAGTTGGCGGTGGGTGGTGATGACTAGCTGCCTTCCCGCTAAACTATATATGGCAAAATTAGAAACGTAACATTGATTTCCAAAGTCGATCATAAAATCATCACAGTTGAAAACTGTTTGAGAGTAAGTTACTATTTCCCTGATTGAAAAAAAGGCTTTAAGAAGCTGCAGGGAAGTGTGTGAGAGAGGATTTGGGCACTAAATCAAATAAGTTTAAATATTAACGAAGCTATGTTTTGATAGTGGAAGAAGCATCCTCGATCGTAATATTTCTTATGCATGTATTGAATACTAATCTTCCTATACAATTCTTAGGAACTTGTATAATGTAGAAAAAGAAAAGGAAATAGAAACTACAAACATTTAAGAGTAGCGAACTGCTTTGATTAATAACATTTTCTATAGGAAAGAATACATAAAAAATGTATATTCATTCAGGTTCTCTTAAATTAATGTTAATAAATTGAAATAAATTTCAAAGTACATTTTTTGTATAATAATTATATACTCGTTCTCATATAACATATGTTTTAGTTACATTTTAAAAGTATGGACAGATGCAGCCGTATAGATCATAGGTTACAATGAGGCTTACTTAGAGGGTACGGTAGTCCATTTTCTAGCTATTGGTGGTAATTATAAACTTGAGGTAATATACTTTCTAATAACAATTATTTACCTGGATGCTTAAATCATTGATAGTTATACACAAATGATAAGTTATATTGTTTCTGAATTATTTATAATGAATAAATTCATCGTATTTCTTGCCCCTTGTCTCTGAGGAATTATGGGATTACAATATTCTAAGTTATTAGAAAGTAATTTTAATGAGAGAATATAGTGGTCACCTTTCTAAGTTCAATTAGTATGGAGACTACAAGACCCCCTCTGGTTATGAAACTTTATAATCCGACATACGGGAAGCAATGCAAGGTCAGAAAGAAAGAAGCCAGTTCAGCGTGGATTTGAGAAAGGAATATATAAAACAGGAGTTCAAGGAGAAAAAGAAGACTCGGAGATGTGAGAGAGAACAAATAAACCGAGAGAGGCGAAGGAATGAAGTAACGTGCTGATAGTAAGAAACAAAACCTATTTGTAAATCTATGTGTTATTGAGCGTCAATAATAAATAGTAATTTATCATGTTTATATTGGTATGAATCAAATTGCTGATATGAATAAGTGCATCCTAAATAAATTTGATAGACATAAAAAGGGAAAGAGAAGTGCAAGTATAGCATGATCTTAACAATAATTAATATAACTGGAGTAAAAGAATCTGCGCAACGATGTTTATAACATGCCAATTTCCTGTGTTTTAGAAATAATGTTTTACTCTTGTCATGTTGAAATACAAGGCTATAGCAACAGAAATTTACTTCGCTCCACATTTTCAAGTAAATCCCATTTTTTCATGTTTATCCAGAACTAGAAATGCAAAAATATGAAACTGGGAGTGTTACCTTTAAGCCTTTCTACATTCTATTTTAATCAATTTGAAATCTTCACGTTATTTCAAAAGTTAATAATGTTTATCAGGATTTTTTCTGCTTTGCTTTTTGTTTGAAGTTAAGCACAAAGCTATAGAATGGCCTATCTGTGCTCTGCCCCCCACGGGTATCGAAAACCGGTTTATAGCGTTGTAAGTCCGCTTCTGTTTTGCATAACGTGTATATATGGGACATGAAGTGCTGGTATAAAAACCTTATAGAAAACCTATTTAGAGAAACACGTCTTGGGTTCCAAGAAACCAGTGGCGGTAATAAAGACATGGTAAAAAAAAACACACAAAGAAAATTACACAAACAGATAAAAAATAAATAAATCCTAAATGTCAGGAATGGTGTAAAATCACAAATTCCGAAATAAGAATTTTTATATAGATGTTCAAAGCAAACAAATTATAAGAAAGGATAAACAGAAAAGTAGAATTTAATAATAAGCCATTAATGGGAAGCCATTGATTAGAAAACTGTATTAATAACAGCTTAACTGGTTTACATGATTTCAATAATTGGCTTAGGCTTAGTTGTTATTGATACTCTTTTCTAATTTTTTTTTACTTTTTTACCTGTTTGTGTAATTTTCATTGTGTTTTTTTTTCGTTGTCTTTTTTACAACTGTCTTTATTACCTACATTCCCAAGAAACACATCTATGATTTGAATATTTCTGAAATATTATAATTAAAATGGCTAAATGATCATAAGAGTACTGTAAGAATTGGATAACATTACCGAATTATGATGCTGTAAAAAAAAGGGTCAGAAGTCCATGGCCGAATATACTCTGTCACGTGCTTTTTATCAATAATCTTATTCCAGAAATTATTTATCTTACTTTGAACCTATACTCTAAACTAAAATCAGTCATCATCTATGCTTCATTGAAGCAACGTTGAGTATATTTAATGTGGTTATGCTCAATATAGCTTTTGTGAAGTAAAGGAAAACCTAATGGGTTCGACACTGGGAATGCTCGTTAATGTTGTGAGTTTTCCATTACAGTTATTGTGGAAAATAACTAGAGAGTGGCTTAAAGGACATGAGAGAAATCTAGTAAATATACAGAAAGATAAAAGTAAGTATCGTGTATAAATAATATGATATGACTTGCAAGGGTATAATGATACTACCTAGTTCAAATGAAAGATACAGTGAGTGGAAATGACGTGACTCGTAGACCTTGTTGTTGAGTGAGAGCCGAAAAAAACAACCTGGAACACAAACTAAATATACTGATCGGGATACCAAGTACATTTAAAGTTTCTAGAGAAAACCTGAACATGATGTTTTTCAAATGAAGTTTTAGTATCAAAAAACATTTTGGTGTAAGCGTTTATAATAAACACGTATTATCTGAGAATATTACCTTCAGTAAATCAGTTTTTGAAGGTGTTTTTATTATAGTCATATGATAAGTTTAACGTAATTTCTTTGATAAATCCAAAGAAAGCAATTTAATTTCGCGAGTTTCCATTTTAGTTTTGGTATTATCTAAAATACTGCGATCTGTTTAATAGAGTTTAATGTAGTTAATGTTATATTTTATTTTTATGTGTGTGGGTTATTAGTGGCGATTTTGTTGAAATTCACGGTGCGTCTTGAAATCCAGCCCCCAGTGGCACAGCGGTACGTCTGCGGACTTACAACGCTAGAATCCGGGTTTCGATACCCGTGGTGGGCAGAGCACAGATAGCACATTGTGTAGCTTTATGCATAATTACAGACAAACAATCTTGAAATCCATAGGCGTTGTAACTTTTTATATAATTCTTTAATTATTTGCTGAGTTTTCAAATGAGTAACATTTTCTGACATTAATTCAGCTTTAAGTTCAAAACTGGCCAATGATTGCTAGTTAGGGAACGTTACAATACTTATATAATGAACAAAATTGATCATATTTTGTTCATTGTCTTATTAAGACGCTACGGTAACAGGAGTCTTGGGTTGTTTTAACATAAACGACACCTTATGCGACACATAAACTAAACGGTCAGAAACTCTAAGATGCGGGTAAAATTATCTCTAATATAGAATGTTTTACATGAGAGAGAGCAGATAGCAAAGAGCAACACCGAATAGCAGGACTGACTGTCACAATTATAATTCCCCACATATGAAAGTGCGAATCGTATTGAACGACATATCGAGACTCGAACCTTAGACTTCCGGATACGCAGTCCAGCACACTAACTACTAGGATGCGTCTGGTATACAGGTTATGTTTGCATAGAAAAGGGGCATATTTCATTGAAATAAGGGAACTAGAGGCATGAAAATCAAAGATGAATGCAAGAATGTGATTCACTGTGAGTATATTCAGGCATTTTCCCAGCTTAACTTTGTTGACTTCCTCGTTACTTTTTTAATGTCAGCTATGATGGGCTCATGTCAGAGAAGAAGATGACCACACACTAAAATGGAATAATACGCAAAATAATAGAACATGAATCACGTACGATAGGAATGAAAATATTCTATATTCACCCAACTGAAAACATATCGAGTCAATGTCGCATAGAAGTGAAACAAAAAATCCAAGATACCCTCTTTTGATATCATTCAGATAAATTATTTGGTGTGAGTCTTAATTTAGAAAACCCCAGAAAAATGGAAAACATACAAGCTTTTCTATCAAGAGCACCCAAGATCGAATCACTAAGGCCTCCAAAACAGGCCATTTTCAGGACTTTCCTAGCTAAATATATTAACAGATAAACAACAGAAACGTAGTACATAGACGAATTAGTGATTAGCCTACAGTAATACAAAAAGAAAAAGTATAGTTAAGTTATCGTATAGAATACTAATCATGAACACGACTGATATCCGATCACCACATTCTTCCATAAGTACTTATCGTCAGGAGATTCTTTAAGAATAACTAAATTGCACTGGTATTGTTTGGAAAATATAGGGCTGTTCTAATGTTTATTTTTATTATTGCTTAGAAAAATAATGTATTATAAACCACTTTTCCAATAGCATTTTTTGCTGATGGAAATAAATGTTTATAGAATGAAAAGAACAATTCACTAAAGAGTCATTTTTACTTTCATAATTTTCGTCAACATTGGAATTACTAACCCGCTCACTAACTAAAC